AAGTTAATGATAATATCGGTTTTAATTGAAGTTATGCTCAATATCAGATTCCCTTTAAAATACGTTTCGTGCATTTACATCGTCATTTGTATCATTTGATACGCGTATCAGCTCTGCCAGCATCGGTACGTGACAATTACGTCACTATAACGTGTTAACTCCTCGCACGTTACGTTACAAGAACGTCTCATTTGGTGTTCGAAACGTAATTGTTACGTCATTATTACGTAACAATCACGTATAGAAAATCAGACAAATAATTAAATTTTATTTGTATGTTTACGTCGCGGTAACGTGCGAAAGACGTATCATATTTTTGTGACTTTGTAACCAAGATGGAACGTCTTTTTCACGTATAGTGCTGGCAGGGAGTTTAGTACGATACTCCTACTTGATACGCTCGTACCAAGTTGATCCGGCAGCGTTTACATCGTACGAACTAAATATTTAGTACGAATTTGGTACGAATATAGTCTCGCCATAAATTCTGTCAGTAATATTACAGCGCTCGATAACGCGTGAATTTTGGTCGTCACAATGTGGCCACACTGCAGGTGAGTTGTGTGAACGATGTAATAAATAATTGCTAGAGCCAACTTCGTTCAGTATGTTAACTTTTTGTACAATAACAACATGGAGTGGAGCGTGTACGAGAATCGCATCGCTGTTCTCGCGCTGCACCGTGTGGGGAAGAGTGCTCGCGATATTTTTAACACTCTCCAACCGTTGAATATTTCCGAACGATTTATTTTTCGCACTATTAGAAGGTTCAAGGAAACGGGCGGTGCAGTTAATCGGCCGCGGACAGGCCGTCCTCGTGTTGTACAAACAACAAATGCAATCAATGCTGTGCGTGCACGGATCCAGCGTAATTCCTTACGAAAACTTTTGCGAAACTGGAGTCAAAACATCCGCTAAAGTGTTATCAAGATACAGTACTCGAGACTGTTGTTAAGCCTCTTAGTGACACTTTGTTCGATGGTCAGCCTTGGACCTTCCAGCAGGACTCAGCCCCCGCGCACAAGGCGAAAACGACGCAGGCATGGTTGGAATTAATTATTTCAGGTTTAGTTCGTATTTCTTCTATTTTCACCCTAGTGTACAGAACATGTTTAATCTCGAAGATTTTTTGATATCCTCATTTCTATTAAAAGTTAACATGTGCAGGGGAGCTTTAAATATAATTTTTTCGCCTGCATTACCGAGATCATCTTTCTTAATTTGGATATTTGAAACATCTATGATGTTGAAGCCCATTTCCATGAGTGCAGCTTTTATTTCCAAAATATCAACCGATCCGTCCAGACACTTTACCACTCCAGCGCATTACCACTTTATTCGGTCTATCCCTTTTATTTCCATAGTTAAACCATTCTATACTTTTTTTAAAGATGTTTTGCATAGCTCTAAAGTCATCTTCATTATAAATATTAATCTTATATTTGCCCTCAGCTCCTTTAGTAATTACTGGAGCAGGTTCCTTTCTCAGCATGTTAATTATTTCCCTGATTATACTATGGCAATCTTTCGAGCTTTATCAAAGCTTCCGATTGGCGTCCAGGAGTCCGGATCTTAACCCGCTGGATTATAAGCTGTGATGCGTTTTGGAGGAGATGGCTTGCAAGAAGCCTCACCGCAATTTAGAGTCGCTCAAGCGTTCTATTGTGTCAGCAGCTGAGAAGATTCCTCTGAAGATCGTGCGTAAATCAATCGATGAGTGGCCCCAACGTTTACGCAAATGTGTGTGGAACAAAGGCGGACATTTCGAATAAAAAATATATGGTTTTGTAGCTTTTTTCCTCTACTTTCAGAATATATGTATAACTTTGGTCTATCTGTTGTTGTTTCTTTGTTCTATCCGTTTAAACTACTGACAGAATTTATGGCGAGACTAGGTAGTACCTGATACGCGTATCAAGTGCACGATGTAAACTAGGCCAATGTAAATTATACATGTGTTTACAGCGTTGTGTATTTCCTTAATCCGCGTACTATTTTAATACGATACCCAGTTCCGATCCGTACTAAACTAAGGCTACGTTCGGAAACCTCACACTCTGTGTAGTGTGGTGATTTTCAGTGGAGAAGTAGTGGGGATATCGTGTGCCTTCGGGTGTAGTATTTCCGAACAGTTAGTTGTGCGTTGATGGATATTTTGATTTCGATCGTGTCATCCGGACAATCTATAGTGACACTAAAATCTAATTGTCTTCGCGTTTCGATATCCTTGTCCCACGATCAATCTTTTTAATTTCAATCTAGGAATCTCAGGAATTTTTTGGCGCACGCACTTCTAAGTATTATATGATTACAAAATATGTACTCATATCAGTCGCTACATTATACGACAAATGCAAATTTATAAATGTATGTAGGTTCATATATCGCGATTTGTATATAATTTTCAAAGCTAAGCAGTTTTATTTTTCCTAGCGAATATCTTTGCCATTCTAAGGCTACGTTCGAAAACGTTACTCTTGAATCACACTGACTCCCCTTGCTTTTACGGCGAGTGGTTTCGTGGCACACTGGTGGTACTCGTTCAACGTTTTCGAACGATTCATCCGAATGCACATTAAGTACCACTAACGTGTTTCTATGTACGTTGCTCTTATTTAACATTGCATAATGTACAAAAAGCATTTTTGTCAGAAGTGATTTTTCAAGTTCAGTGATCACAAAAACTGCGCGTGTCAACATTAATTATATTAAGGTAATAACGATAAATAGTTGTAATGCAAGTCACAGTAAATAATAATAATGCAATAATATAATATTTATTCTGAAGTAGGTAATATTTAAAAATGTAATGAATGTAGCATCTTTACCGCAGGTTGCGTGCAAGTCCGAACGATTATTGTGTTGGTGTGCACACAGTGTGTTTCCGAACGCAGCCTTAGTCGGTACATTGTCGTTTACACTATCGTACCAAGCCAACTTGATACGAATATAGTTTTTGATACACGTATCAAATGGTCAGTGTAAACTAGGCTAATAAATCTTAAGCACAAAATCCTTGCTCGGCTCTTTGATAGCTTTATATATTGGTCATTTCAATTATATTAAACTCATTTAACAAACGATTCATTATACTGACAAAAAAAAATATATATATAGGGTGCGGCAAAATTAAGTCCCCGATATTGTTTTTTAATTAAAAGTTTTTAAATAAAAAATATTTTTAAAATTTTGTGAAAATTATTTACTGAGTCCGTTACAATTGTATCGGTCTAAGTTCGAAAGATGATATCGGGCAGAATGATGTAGAATGATTTTGATTTTGCAATCTTATTTTACGATTTAAAATATTCGACAAATACTTGGATGTGGCATCTAAAGCTGGGTATACGCTTAGCGAACGAACACCGAACGAACAGCGAACGCGAACGTTCGTTATTATCATTCATCAGATGTATACGCCGAAACAAATGCGAACAGAACATTCGATTCGCATTCGGATCCGTTCCCTCATGAGGCGGTACATCAAAGAAAATTCGTGCGCGATATGGACGCGCACGGGTGCTGTCGCTGCTGTTCACTACTGTTCGCTGTCGTTGTCGCTGTCATTCATTTTAGGTCCAATTTTGTTTAATAATAGTTCAAAATCTTCTGCAGACATTCTGCAGAAATTTTGAAATTGTCCCATATAGTTTACTTTTAAATCGCTTAGTAAGTTGCTTCCTCTATATTGTAAACGACTGTGATATAATTGTGTCATCCATCACCTTCTTTTCTTTTTTTTTAAGTCTTTCCAAATTATGTGCCATTATGATATAACATGCACTTGCTATAATTGCGTCGTCAGACATTGATTTGAAATGACAAGGATTATATTATTTGAATAACCTATACTGACAATAATTAGGTTACAAAATCTCTCATTACTAGAGCCCGGATTTTCCGCCGGCCGACGTACCATTTCGAGTCGACCGTAGCGAGTTCCTCACAGCTCGCTTCACTTCGACCCGCTCAGGGGAAGAATGTGGTAACTAGAGAATACAATCCCGGGATACGGGATCCCGGAATCCCGAACGTTTTCTGGCCCCGAAAATCCCGAGATTGTAAATTACTAATCTCGGGATTTTCGAGATTGTCAAAACATTTTTTATTAGATATTTTTAATAAATCAATAATTATATACATATAATAATATCCACTAATGTCATTTATCAATGAATAATATTCTCAAAATATTTTGTGCGTGACTGGTGACTACATTATTGTTGATTTACTTTTGTACCCGATGATTTTCTTGCAAGACGCAACTCGCAAACGTGTCTCAACTGTTCTTTCTGACATGTACGAACGTGTTTGTTTTACTTGCACTGGCAGGTCGGTCGGCTCACGATTTTCATTAGTTCACGCTACGCACTCCAATCCAATAGATCGCTTTGCCCGAAATATAATTATTTAAAATGTCGCGTGATGGTGTATTTATTAAACATAAAAAAGTTTTTAAGACTTGGACCTGACTTCTAAAAATTGCAACAAATATAATAAGTACATTTTTTGTTTCTAAGAAAGTCTGTGATCTTAATAAAGTTTATTTTCTGTTCCTAATATTCAAGACTAATTAAAACAAAATGCTTAGTTTTATTATCTACATATGATAACTGATTAATAAAAAAAGTTAATTTTTTTATAGGTACATTGTTGATTACGTTTTTTTTATTAGTTCATAAATTTATAACTGAATAATGAAGAAATCTCGTTTAATTTTAGTGGATATTATATTAACTTGTTGATTATTAGAGATATAATAAATCTAATTTTAAAAAAGTTCAATTTTTAACAAACATATAATTTTAATTCCTCTTTGTCTAGTCCCGGGATCGAAAAAGAGACTCTAAATTGTATTCCCTAGTGGTAACTAAAGAGCGTGACAAACTCCGGCAATAGAGTTTTTGTTTTTTTACTCCGGCTCTATCAGCTTGTTAATTTTCAAGAATATTATTTTAATAAGAAAAAGAGCTATATACTTATATTGTATTTTTTTCCAAAATCAAAATCAATTTTTATTTAAGTCTATTCGTTTCCGTTTTATTTATGAAAATAATATACAACAAAAAACTTCTTTAAATTCTGAAAAGTAAAGCTTCTTCGTCTTTCGCTCAAAATATTTTTATACCGGGAAAAGCTGCGTCTACGTCGCATGAAGTGATAGGCGCGTACTTGAAAAGTTTCAAGTCCACTTCATCCAACCGCGGATCAAGGTTTTTACAATCTTCCTTTCCTTCCAGTATACGCTGAATCGTGCAAATCGTGGAAAATCCTGAATTCTTGTATAAAACATTTTGTAATTTCTTTGATATTTTCAAATGTTTACTGTCTTTATTGGGAATTTCACACTGAGAAAAATATCCAGCGACTTTAATCGGAAAAAACCGTTTGAACACCTTATCCGATTGATTTTGATTGGATTTGGGGCTATCCGATGAAATAAAATTTCCAATGAAATATGAACGGATAATGAGCTGCGATTTACTTATCTGTTTAAATTGATATATAATATGATCGGACATTGCACTTGATCGGATAAAAATAAGGTATTTTTTCCGATCATGCTGAATGTCCGATCTAATGTACTATATCAGATTAAAATATTATCCGATAAAGTGTAATATTTGATGAAATACAATTTATCCGTTCAGAAGTCCGATGAAATACATGTGTACACATTTCGAAGTCGCACTGGTAACTCGATTGTGATTGGTCGTGCTAACAGTCGTACCGATGGGCCCAGCGTGCATGAGCCTGTACTCTATTGTCTCGTGTTCGTCATCGAAGCAGCGTGAAGGCAGTGTGACGCAATATTGTGTGCAATATTTTGTATATATAGTGTATTACGTGTCAATTATTAAGAAGTGAAAGAAATGAATTGTAATACAGTTAGAACTGTTCTTGAAGAACTCAAAGTAGAAGAAGAAGTGATACAAATTAATATTAATATTAATTGGTATATTTAAGGGGAAAATTCCGATCAGATGTCAGATCTATTGATCGGACATAATATAATCGGACTATTCGTTCAAAAAGTAACAAACGGATATGTTATATTCGTTGTTAGTTTTAACCAGCAGGGGATTCAATAAATACACCGGTATTGTTATTAGAATACTAACGTGACTATATTTCCAAAAGTCTAAGTCTATATCGAGAACTTATATATTCTCCTATCCACACGCACACATGCTTCCTGATCCAAGCCGATAAACGGAATGCTCCGATCGGCACACGCCCGCACGTTACTTGCTTGAGCGCCCCATATCGCAACCTGAACATGGCGCTCTTGTACTTGGCGCGTCTTATAAATCCGAATACATAACAGGATATTTTAGATCGAATATTTTCTAATCGGAATTTTCTGATCGGATATTTTTGATCGGTTATTTCAGCCTTCATCAGTTATTTTTTCCGATTGAAGGGATCGATAATATCCGTTTGTTACTTTTTGAATGGATTTTCCGATCGATTAACCGGATTTTTCTCTCAGTGCACGTATGCTTGATGTCACTGTCATTTGATTCAACGTCATTTGTTTTCGTCGGCGTTTCATCCATGCTGAACTGCTGTACCGAACGCCGCGAACGCGACATGGTGGGGAGAACTAGCTACGGTTGCTCGATCTGAGATCTTAAATCCGGGCTCTACTCATTACCATATAGCGAACACCTAATTTGGCCGAACACTGACATTCGTTGCGAATGAGAAAAAAAACGAATGACTTCAGAACACGAACGCGAATGTCCGAACATTCGCGTTCGCTGTTCGTTCGGCGTTCGTTCGTAGATGTATACCCAGCTTGAAATGAAATAAAATTTCCTTGCGATTCTCGAGAAACGCGTTCTTTTGTTTGTGCAATTATTACATAGTTCAATTGCTTTACGATTTCAAAAGACGAGAAAGATTCAATTTGCACGTCACGAGCTTTCCTTGTGAATTTTATTCATTCGTAATAATTGGTAGCATAATTCTGTCCTTATTCTTCTCCAAACAAATAGTAATTCAGGAAATGTAACATTGAAATTATTACCTTTGCAATTACTCGTTTCTGCACACAACATCACTGTCGTCTCAAGCGGCGAATCACTCACACGTACGCATGCCGTCGCAGAAGTAACGCACATCAGTCTCTGCCTCGTATCAAAATTTCCGAGTCATACTGTTAAAACCGTCGACCATCATGACGGATCGGACTTACTGAGGAAGCTGAGAAGCATTCGCTCATGCCGCGCGCCAAAGCGAGCGAATCTTTTAAGTATCGCGACCCTGAGAGTCGTGGTGTGAGATATTAGTTAGTTTTTATTGTTGCTACGCGGGCTCGCCGGCTGACTGTTCGCCTGTTGCTGCGCGCGCTGTATATAGATGTTCAGCAGCTTTAGCTTGCTGGAGTACAGGCAGCTTAAGTGCGGTTTTAGCACCTCCTCGCCGACCGCAACATGGATTGCTACCATGCAGAACACGGCACTTTTACGAACTGCGCTCTCGGCATCGTCGTAAGCCTAAAATGCACGTGAAATATATAAAATTATATAGTATTATATTCAGGGCTGGGCAAAATGTATTTCAAATTGTATTTCAAATACAATAAAATATTTGAAATACAAGATGTACAATGCTAACACAATCTTGGTATTTAAATTATAAAATACAAAATACTTTTAATTTTTAATTTTCGATTTAAAATACAAAATTTTGTATTTTAAATAAAAAAATTGAAGATATTTTGCAATAAATACTAAAATTGTTAGTATTTTGTATTTTGTATTTCAAATGTGTTTGCCCAGCCCTGATTATATTGAGATGTTCAGAAAGTTCGTAATGTGATTTTCAATAAATGACAGAACACGTCTGCATACGTCAAAGCTGTCAAAACTAAATGACACCTGTTATCTAAAAATTGTCGAAAACATGCATTATTGAATGAAGATAAACCTAAACATAAAAATTATTTTTAATTTTACAGAACTCACTACAAATTTTTTTAACAATTCTATATAATGTCAATCATTTTTTTATAAATTGTTCAAGTTTACTTACCTTGATGAGGCCCGGCATAACCTTGGCGAGATGAGGTTCGATAGCTTCGCGACCCCAGTGATCCACTACTTTGTGCAACATCTTTATCGCGCCCATATTTAAAGGATACGTCTCTGTGGCGATTATAGTGGAAACCAAATGAATGATTTGTTCTGGTTTTAGAACCATGGCCATCGTTGCGGCACATTTCTCTGCGTTCCAATGGACCTGTTAAGAGTGTAAGGCGAGATTAAAACGTGTTAATAGAAAAAGAGAATAAAATGCAGAATAAATACATACTGGAGATCTGCCGCCGCTACCGCTGGAAGAATCGACCTTCTGATCGTCGGATTTGTAGGCGTAGATAACTTTCAGCACCAACAATTCATTGTAAGACGAAAAGCTCTCAATCAATTCGGAACACTTTAACATATCGATCAGCGTTTGAAGAACTTCCACTTGTATCACTTTCCCATCGTTAGATAAGCTATCTAATAAAACTTTGAGCACTTTCCTGAAACATCAGAAAATTGTTAAATCGCTAGGATTAAACTGCCGCGTAAAATGTGTGTAGAATCAAGGCTGAAACGTACTTAAAGTTTCGTTTAATATACGATGGATCGCCTTCGCGGACGTATAACTGAAATTCTTGTAGCGCCGATACTTTTTCCGTGGTTTGCGCGACTTTAGATTGTAAAGTCTTCACCATATTATCCACGAGTTCCGGTCTGCTCACCGAATCGGGCGACGAGCCTGCGTATAAAATATCGTAAGACATTCTGGTCAAATAAAAACTAAAATTTAATTTTAAAGGTAAAATACCGTGCGTTTTATAACCATTGTTCTCTTGAGGTAGGATTAAATCACCGGCAATCGTATCGGATCCATTCACTGTTATATTACTACCAGAACGTCCCCGTTGCGTTGGTGAAGAAACGGACGAGGATCGGCCCTAAAAAATATTAAATTAGTATCATTATCTTTCCGATTCATTCTTGTTTATCGCATTTTCTTATTCAACTCACCGAATTGGATAACGTGAGTCCTTCTATTCTTTCCTCCACGTCGGCCATGTTGCTAATGCCGCTGTCTTTGCTGGTGGTTGCTCTCTCCAAACGTTCGAAACCATAATTTTGAATTTCAGCCGTCGTACGGCGCAAAGATCTGTAAGAAGAATTTCGCAATTAACATATCACAGAATGATAACGCGTCGACTGAATGTCGCATGTGTTCGACGCGACGAAACGTACTTGTATACTTCCTCCAAGTTTTCATCTCCTCCGTCGATTTCAGTCTTCGAGTCCGCTTTAATATCGTTCTTCGCTTTCGTGCGAGCTGGCGAACTCTGTGCTCTGGGTGGCGGTGTGCCGGGCGATGCCGGATTACTCGTAGTAGACGATTTCCTGAGGTGATTCTGCACCAAAGGCCAGGCTGTTTCCTAGAGAAGAAGAAAAAAACATGATTCAGCACGGGCATGTGACGGAGAAACGAACGCTGACGAGCAGTCGGTCAATTCTACACACTTGGTAATATTTCGGTAACTCGGAGAGTATCATAGTAACTTGAGGCGGATTGAGATTGTAAAGCGATATCACAGCGTTCTGCGCGTGCCTCCTCACTTCTTGGCTTTTAACATCGTTCGACCAGTCGAGCAGCCGTGCAAGTGCTGTCGCTGCAGAACTGCCCAGCGCGGACGGTTCTGCCGTCTCAGCGATCTGCGTGATAAAAGTCAATGCTTCTATTTTCACGCGAGTATTTGGTGTTTGTGTTGGATCTGTCAGATACCTCATCACAGCCGGTAGAAGCTGTTGGCCCGGGAAACAGTCTCTGGACAAATCATCACACACGCGCGTTAGAATTTCATTATTATTTTATTTAATTGCAGTAAATTTTTAATAAAATTATAATATTAGTGACACAGTGTGCGAGTGCTCACCTCACAACATCAAGCGTTTTGCGAATCTTTGTTTGTATAGATCCCAACAGATCGGTGCCCAATTTATTGAGGAGCCTCGCGCACAGAACGTAAAGCCAGTCGCCAAGTCCATCATTGTGAGTGATAACTAGTTCGTTCAACGTGTCCAGAAACAGACTGAACACTTTGGTGTGAGAATCCATGAACATTTTCGTAAAAATGTCTGTGATTCTACGCAAATCAGTCGCTGTCAGCGTGTTACCGCTGCTCAAGTAATGCTGCAAGCCCACCAAACCTTCTTTCCTGTCTCCCCAATGTTTGTGAGCACAGATTTCAATAATTTCTTTGATATCCTGTAAAACGAGAGAAATCTATTGCCTGTTTCTTTCGTATCTTTCACTTCAAATACACAAATATATTTCAAAATGCATATATATATATGTATATTCTCGGTATAACACATAAAAATGTTCACCAAATAATAAATGTTTAGAACACAATTGCTGCATCGATTTAGAAACATTGAACGAGTTATATTTTGTTTGACAGGCAGAAATAAAAAGAAAGAATTTAACAAACCTTCGGAGTAGACTGATCCCATAGATCACGGTACAGTCTCGGTTGGGAGCCACTCCATGAGAACGACTAATGGGTAGATGGACGATGGAGATGTATGGAGAATAGAACGGCGTGTCGCGTTAGTCCAAACCAAATAAATACGCCGCAACAAAACAAAAAGTGAAAACCAGACATGCATTAGCTACATCATCATACAGTGCTCTTTTTGCATTCGGAGATATTGTTGTTTCTCCACTGTTTGATAAAAAAACTGACTTGTACAAATAATATAAACGCTAGTGAAACAATTTCATTTTTTTTAAACAGGAAATTAACATTCTATTAGATTACGAAACATAAATGATCTTATGAAGTAACATTTCGAAGTTTGCACATGCTATAGAAATCAAAATAAAACCCATACTTATTATATGAGCATCGATTAAGCAATTATAAGAAGCGGTAGATTTTATTAATCGAGTATAAAAATGTGCATAAATTTGTAATATTAATGCAGCATGATATGTATGAAGATGCGATTCGTCATTTTTTTTCCTCCGCAAACAGTAATGTGTTAGTTTACGAAAAAAAAAAAAAAATAAATAAATAAATAAATTTAACGTCAACTATTTATATTCCGATTTGGAACTTTGATTCTGATTCATTCGCTTTTTGATGAAAAAACTGAACGAAAAAACTGTCTCTTATTCTTTGATTTAACAAAACTGCTACTCACATCGCTAGCTCGTCTAAAACCGTCCATGCTTCGTTCCGAGCATATACTGCTGTTCTCGCTGTCGTCGCTGTGATCTCCTTTGCCCGGTATTCTGGTGTAGTTATCGATACTGTCAAAAGTCAAAGCATCCGCCAAAGCGGACTCCGCTTCGCGTGACTTCTGCAGCATTTTTTGCGCCATCACCGGTGGTCTCGTGCTGTCCGTTGGTGACATGTGTAGATTTCTCCCTCTATAATTTAAATAATTCATGTGTTAATAACCACGCGAAAATTCTTTGCAGAGTTTTTTGACAATTGAATTGTCGTACCTCAGTTTGCTGGCAAAACTCCTGTCCATTCCAAATCTCTGTGGGCTGGGCTCGCGACTGTTGCTTGTGCTACTAATCGCGTGTCCAGATAATCGCCTCGGTCTGCCTATCAGTGATTCGCCTTCGCGATTATACGTGGCGTAGCTTAATCTAGACGACGGCGAACCTGATCTACTGCTAGCTGTTGGGGAAAAAAATTAATCGTTTCGTTAAAAAAAAATCATTACAAGTTGTTCTTCTAATTACATTTCTTCCAAACGTACGTTGAGATTGCGAAACTCCCGAGACTCTTGTCCTCGTCCTAGCAATTCTTTCTGGACTAGCAACCGCATTGGGATCCGGGGATTTACTGGGACGAGCTGATGATGTAAACAGAAAACAACACGACAATATTGAAGGAGATTCGCTGCCGAATTTCGTCTTTTCAAGATAAATTTAATACTCACGAAGAGCCGCCGCCGCTTTTTGCCTGCTCATATTCGCATACATTATCCTGGCCTTCGCTCTCTGAGCAGCTTGCAGATCGATTGCACTGGTAGATCTAACCCCAGGCGTTCCTCGGTCTACAAAAATAGATAGATCAATTTTACGGCAATAACTTTTACGCCATTCTGCCGTTTCTGTGCAAGATTAAGACAAAAAAGAAAAAAAACAAAAAAAAAAGATCAACGTGAGAGACGTGAGAGTTTTTGCAGTGTGATGTAATGTGCAAGAAGTATGATCTATTGGAAGAATTACAGTGACTGTCTGTTGGTCTTTGCAGTATCGGGATACCAGACTGACGATAAGACCGAGGCAAGGACGGGGTACGTCTGAGCGGACCGTGCGGTTGACCCGTGGTCTGATGCAAATTTTCCGTACTACCTTCATACGTTTAATGTAAAGAGGAGAAGAAGTCGCAAAGCAGCATGAAAAAGAGAGTGACAAGTCCTTTATATTAAAGTCGCAACAGACATTAATATATTCAAGTGCAACGCAAGTCTCTCTTAATGGCGCGTCTAACGCGCGACGTAGTAAACGAGGAAAAAAAAAGTACGAAGTCTCTACCTGCCGCGCTCATCACGGGCCGGGCTGTACGCGGGCTGACGCTCGACGATCTCGCATTAGCCACAATATTTAAGCTGTTACTACTGCCGCTATTGCTGAGAGACATCAAGGAGCGTTTGTATGTCGCATCCAGATTATTAAGTAGTATTTCAGCCTGCTCTGGAAAGTGATTTTTAAATGCCCAGTATGATCTATAAAAAGTGATAAAATTAATTAACGTTATTCGATTCGCTCGTGAATTCGTCGTGGAGAGGCCGTTCGGTTGCGAAAAAGTCACTCACTTCCTGGCGAAGACTCGCGCTTCCGCGTCGGAGTCGGCGATTCCCTTCTTCAGCGCGTCCGGCAGTGTCGTTACGTGCTTTTGCAATATCTGCGTAGGCCAGGTCTGCAGTATCAGAGCGAGATACTCCCAGGACGCCCTGCGAATGTCTTTGCTTTTGTTGCTCACGCACGATATAATAATAGGCACGTATCGGCTGCAGTGGGTATTTTGAAGGATAAACCGAACTGCCACCGCGCCGGCTGACGCCACGACCTAGTTGCCATGAAAAAAAAAACGATGGGTAATTAAATCCTTGCCATTCGCGGAGTTACATAAAAACCGACGGCCGCACGCGCGCGCGCGGCTAAAAGTCGTAAAATTCTACGAGATACGAACGATTTGTCGACTCAATGCCGCTAACGGTTTGGACAATAATTGACTCTAAACGTTCGCGCGTAACAGAAACCTAGTATTTCTAGCAGGACTCACCTTGGCACTGTTCTGTATGAGGTTCATTAACGTGAGCAAGACCGCCTCGCCAAAACCGGCGAATTTCGTCTTCAGACTCTGACTCAGAAAGGCTAGAGTTATACACGCCTCCCTCGCTACTTGGGATCTCAGGTCGGTGCAGGCCTGTTCGAACGGTCGCTGTACGCTTTTTAGGCACTCGTGGAAATTTTCGTAATTAGTGCCGCCTGCGATTACAATGCCTCTTAACTTTCTCATCTGTAAAGAGAACGACGGGTAAGAAAAAATCTCCGGGGAGAGAAGATTTCTCGTTTTCCTGCGACACGTACGCTATCCATTCTCTGCTTCCAATCCTTCTTGTCGTCGCCCACTGTATCCCTGATTACTTTCATCTGTTCCTCGAGATCCTTCGCAGAAAACAGGGTCACGGTAGGCACATCCTCGAACGAAGTGATAAAGGATTCTTCATCGACGGCTCCAGCTAGATAGGGATAATGTTGTTTACATTCACTTTAAGATGAAAATACATTGTGTTATGTGCGTACAAGCTAATATTTCTCATGCTTTATGCTTTTCGAAAATGAGTGATCCATATAAATTGCATGAATTGCTGTGAACGATACTCGAGCAATCGCCATACCAAATGATACGCTAGAATGCATTACGGATTAACGAAAATGATACGCTAGAATGCATTACAGATTAACGAAAATGATGACTGACTGCACACAACAATAAATAAGCAGTATGTATTGAATATCGAGTTCTAAATGAAAAGCGTACAGCCGATAACGAAGCAACAATGCGTAGGGCATTCGTTACTCTAATTGGGGAAAAAACTTGCAATTTTTCACAATTTGAACAACGAATGTAACTATATCACAGAATGTATTCGCGTGGAATTTTCCGATATATTAACAGCGCGATTGTTTTTCTTTCCGATTTCGTCCGCGATTTGTACGCCGAAATGTATCTTAAAATAAGCAATTGCCAATAATGGAATTTCGATATACCTGATGCCGATCTTACTGACAGAGCTCTTTTGACGGTCGCTGCCCTTGGGACCGTGGATGCGGTAGTACTGGAGGGAGCTGTCATGCAAGCGAACAGTTAGCGTACATCCTCGTCAACGAAACGTCAACGCCATCGACGCTGACCTTTCGCTGGCGAGTTTCTCATTCATGTGTATTTGTTAACAATGCAGAGGTGAAGCCGCGCTGCGGTTAAAACTAAGCGATATATATATACGGGTGTATATTCCAACCGTATCACCCGTTAACAGCGAATTCCTGAGGTCATTCAAATGAATCTAAGGAATCCGCTATTAACGGGTGATACGGTTAGGCTAGGTGTGACCCTGTATATATTTCCCATGTGTGCGCTTCGTTTGCGGAGAGACATGTGCGTTTGGTGGCATTAGTTAACATCGAGTCATGACACTTGCATATACATTTCAGATAAAACACGACGAGAGACACATTTCATTAAAATATATACGAAACAACTGCTGGCGGAGCACAAAAAGTGCATTTACACGACACAAGCTAACACTGCTACATATACTATATTATCGTTTCGATGTAAAATTAAGAAAGTAAATATTGATTCTAGCATAAATACAAGTCTAATATTTTATATACATTGAACAAAATTCAACAAATGTTTACAATCTTATTCGTATTACTGCTACTGATTAAATAAATTTTAGAGAAACTTGCTTCACTTGTTTCTACTCTTGCAAAATATTTATATATATCATGCTCTCTCTCTCTCAAAAAAAAGAAAAAATATTGAGAATATTAGATTGTCGATTTAAATCGCATGATAATTAAGACATTTAAAATAATTTGGCAGTACTTTGGACATACCTAAGGCAGAGGATGGTGTCTTAGCCGGTCCAAATTGACCTCTTTTTGGGGGCATGTTCAACCTCTTAACGGGAGCCGATTTAATCTGCAATAATAGATTTTTCTTTCGAAACATCACTTCTATTTATAAACTAGCAATGAAGTTGTTTGTGCATATCCGAACTCTACACTTACCGCTCTGTCAGGTTCGTCGTTATCTTTGCCGACTGAAACAGAAGAGAAGGAAAATCGTCAGTCAGAATTTGCGAATTTTTCGCCGACTACAAATTTTAGAAATTGAATTACATTTCTCAAAAATAATCAAATATTTTAAAAAGAAAAACAAAATTAATTACAAACCATTTGTTATTTCGAGCTATTCAATATGGTATTAATAGATTATAATTGCAAAATAAAGACTTTTTTAACATAAAATTACAATACATACATAAAAGATAATGTTACGCTAGCGTGATTTAATGTTACAACTATTTCACATCATAATGATGTAAGACAAGCTCCCCTCCCCCTTTCTACAGCCAAATTAATTTGTGTACCTAACTCCGGGTATAGCCAAGGTGGCTTGTGAATGTCGCAGTGACACCCCCTCGCCCTTGCCCCCGGATGCTTGACTATATTATCCCATTGTAGTATCCATCTGCTGCTTGCGTCCCACAATTTCTTATCGATACTAGGATATTTCCTTAATCCCCGACGCAAGCAGCAATGCCCGCTCGGCGTTAGCACGTCGGCGTCGTTCATCGCGTGTATGTGTGTATGATAATATTTTAGCGCGAGCGGCAAGGATAAATTCCTCCACGGGTCGCAGAAGAATTATAACGACACTGACATTTCGCCAGCGTCATCGTCATCTTAATAAAACCAGGTGCGAGCGAACTTTGTCCGTCTCTATCCTCGATCGCGCTGTTGTGAATCTGTTTTTTTTTTTTCTTTTCCAACAGACGTGAGAAACGGCGACCCTAGAATAATACTGTTGTAGCGACTGAATCATCGACTTGCAGAGATAGAATCCGCGTTAAGCATTCGAAAGGAAATTACATAACGCAAATTAAAAAAATGCGAAACAAAATATTATTTCGTTTCAATTGCGGATTCTCTGCAGGAAGTTTCAAAGTTCATAAAATGTCCTTCGGCACGCCAGCCAATAAAGATAAATTGATCGCAAAACTAGATTCCTAGAAGCCACGATAGTATTGTTCTAAGGATGCAGATAAAGAGCTTATTTATCGCGTGCAATCAACGCAGCTAAGCCACCGTGGGTCAATAATCAATAGACAAACGCTCAAGTTTATAAACTCGCACGATTCATGAAGAAACTGCCGCTAATTAGCGTCAGAGCTCACGAAAGTGTAAAATGTGACGGGGAAACTCGCACGGTGCGAGCGGCGTGCGCGCACGCAGTGAAAGTGATCCTCGCTCGTCTTTTCCCGCGCGCTTACCTCGACTCGAAATTAGTTTCTACATCCTAATTGGACTCCTCGCGAATCGTGCCTTATTAATTTGCCACTGCGCGAACGATTCATTAGGTCGCCTAGCCGTGCGAATCGGACGCGCGGATTTAATGAGAGGGATTAATCGGCAAGCGCTACCGGATTTCGTTTCGCGAAACCACATTCGCGATTGCTTCGCGGAATCGAGCAAGAGTTCCTCAACGATGTTGCTTTCCAATCACGTTACTTATTTAATAAATTGTCACTGAAACAAGTGTTTAAAGTTGCTCGCCGAAAATTATTCCTTGAATTTGGCATACGATGCAAACTTATCGCCTCGCGTGTTCCGGTTGATTTATTCTCTGAAACGTTACAATTTATAACTTTTCAGAAAAAGAATCCAATCGATAAAAGTTGTGTTTAATTTCGAATGGAACCGTTTAATAAGCCATCAAGGGAAAAACGACGGGAATTATTATGGCGCAAACTGGCAATTTGCAGCAAACTACGGGAATAAGCGGCAATTATTTCTCTCTCTTTCTGTCTGTATTTCAAAATTGTTGGCGTAAAAGTTCCTAATGTTTACTCTTGCCTTTCTCGCAAGCATCTTATTATCCAGGCATTCTTTGCAGTCGTACGCATGCACTTACGCATTAAGTATGCGCGCGCTCCCGCATTAAGAGGCCTCGTAATATCCCAAGCGTCGGCGCGTTTATAGCGGTACACCAAAGATTCCTTCTTCTTTTTCTCCCGCGAGGCTTTCGATATTGAGAGTTTCGTCCTGCCATTCAAGCTTTACATGTATTTAAAATGCTAATAAACTTCAATCCCTTTATCACTATATTTAAAAATCGTTAACGCGATTATACGCTCTCGGTAATTTTATTTTGGTATATAAATAACGTTAGCATTAAGTTTCTCCACTGGAATTATTCTTTTTTAAAAATTTTTGCATTTGATAAAATCTACACTTTTTACACAAATTGAGAACATTATTGATAATTATCGCTGAAAATCAAACGTATCGATTTGCTTTCAATGCGGTTTGCCACGTGAATATTCAGCTACGTAAATACGAGCCACCGATTGATTTCTCCACAATGTGTTGGTTCAACGTTCTCCAATAATAATGAGCAGGAGTTTACACACTTGAAGCATTAATAGCAACAATCGATAATCCAAATATAACATGGACCGTTGTTACACACGCGTCGCTAATAATAAATATCAGCCGGAATTGAGACGCGATTTCTTAACTATCGTCCGGCAATCGCGCGACCTATTTATTAATATCTCCGATACCGGTTCAGTGTTCTCCGGTAACAATGAACATGCATTCACATGCGCCGCGTTACACGTAACAAGACCGGTTAATGAGAAACCCTATTTTCTCACGTTACAGATAGTATCGTCTCGCGCGCCTTCTCTTCTGACGTTCTAGTAGCATTCATTCAGATCTTCGCCGCCGTTCAGGCTTTCCGACAACTTGCCAGCTGCCGTGCCGAAGAGTTTGCACCACAGATATCGCACATTAAATCAAATTAATAAACTTAAAGAGCAAATATACAATGTTGTCGGACGGAAGATACGACTTTATACTTGCAAAACAGAAGAATGTAAATTCAAAACAACAATTTCCAAATTACGATAGTAATTTGACAAAATTGTCGAATAAACAAACTCCACGAAAAATGCAAAATAAAACAAATCCAATTAAATTTTAATAAATAAAGGAATCCACACCGTTTGGAAATATGTTTGAAAGATATTTTTTTAAATGATAGCTGTTGGATGAAGAATGATTTCTGAGGGAATCTGCAGTTGAATCACACACACACCTTCAATCTGATTAAACTTGCCGACAAGTTATCTACATATTTGCTCAATTTATCTCGAGACCGTGTGCCCATTATTACAAACATCTTTCGAAGAAAAGAAAAAAAGCAGAAAGGACGATTATTTAATTTACATCCTCGGGCCTTACCGCCGATGCCGGAGGAATCGCGCGGTTTCGAAAAAAAATCCATCGTGCTTCCCGGAATCGGTTGCGTCACGAGTGCGCGATCGCGGCCTCTAACTACGTGCAGCCCATTATCGCACACGTGCGCGTTGACGCGAGCATTTATCGCCGACGTGGATTAACATTGCCTAGTAATAGACCGGTGCGGATATCGCATGCAAAAAGGGACAGCCGAGCCGTGCATTAAATCAAGTAGAAAAAAGCCGGACGACTCCGTTAAAACGATGCCGGCGATTGATTAACACGCACACGGCACCGGCGCTAATTGCGCGCCGGCCGCGCGGATCTTGTTTTTCGGGATCCCGCTTTATTTATTCCGAATAAAGCGTGACAGGCGGCAGTCGATCCCGATTTTCGTTTCACGCCGCGTTATAAAGTAATTTACGCGAAACAATGCAAGAGACACTTTGTGCTTTGTGCAATCCCGTTGCGACGTCGAAGCCGCAGTAAATGACGGCTGCATATTTTAATAAAAAATAATTAAGGCAATAAGATTGCAAGAAGAGAGCGGAATCTTATTTCCTCGCTTTGCGTAATGTTGCAACTTAAAAGTTAACAGCGCGTAAGATTGTAAAAAACCGCGAACGCATTTTACTTTCATGACTCAAGCGAACGGAATAATTAACGAAAATAAACATGCCGCGTCATCATTCTAAAACTCGTCCGATATTTTCCTCGTATTCGAGAAATCTAAAGTCATATTATACAATAGAAAAGCGAGGACGAGAAATGACGCTTGTATTACATAATTAGCACCGTTCTACCAGTCATGTAATGAAGAAACGCCGGCGTTTTCTGCATTCACATCTCTTTGTATAATGAACATTCGAGCAGCGGCGAAATTATCTAGTTCATCGCGTGGCCGAGAAAGCGCATTAATAATTCCCGTCGACGTTTCAACCAGGCTGTACACGTTCGCCGATGAACGCACTTTTGTCGATTCTCCAAACACGCGTGTATTGTGAACTCCTTATCTTTCTCAAAGGCAGCCCGAAACGTGACACAAATAGAGACGACACGCGGACGGCACGCAACATCGCTTATTCAGGTGGATAAATACTCGAAGACGACACCAATGAATATTTTATAGAAACTTAAAATAAATGCGTGATGAAGTCGCAATTTCTATTTCTGGAGTCTTTTAACGAAAGCTGTTAATTTCTAGAGATAAGTGAAAAATGTAGATTTTCGATTTAGATTAAGAATTTCAAACCGCATTTGATTGCGTTTTATAAAAGGTACTTCCACGTGTGTGCTTTTAAAGATAAAAGAGATATAAATTCTCAATTTAGATCTTGAACTAAATTTAACAATGTTCCGAGACAGGAATTTATCGACGCGATTTTAAAGCCGTGTTTAATTGCGCCATAAAGATCCATCGTCGTGCATCTCTCAAGATAAAAGCGACATTTAGATACTCGATTAAAATTTAACAATTCTTGAAAATGTTTAGGAAATGTATTTATGCGATTTTAAGCTGCGTTGATTGCGTCGTAGAAGGCACTCCGCCGAGTTGTATTTCGAAAGGGAACTGCGTAGTGCGATTCTTTTTCGAGAAACATCATGATTCTCGATTGCATCCTTGTGTTTCCATCCACATCGCTATTTCTCACCGCACGTAGCCGCGGGCGCGTAACAATCAGACTCGCATAAGCGAGCCTATGCAAGCCAAGCACAACTACACGACACACCGAGCGATAGTCGTTTGTTTCACACCGGCGTCGCCGCGTGTGGCACTGCGAAAACTTCCCCAGCA